GATGTGCTGAGTGACGCCCGTCTGTTGCTTTTTCTGTATAAAGGAGCGTCCAACGATTGGAGGAGGAGGGTGAAGTTACCCAGCGCTGGCGCGTCGTGGGCGGGTGGAAGGGCTGTTTATAAACCCAGATCTTTCCTCGTGGGCGGGAAGAGCAACAGTGGGGAGTGAAAGTGAAGCGAGAGAAGAAAGTGAGAGAGACGTAGAGGAGACAAGGCTGTGGTGGCGACGGCTGTGGTTGACCGGGGTCCGCGGAGGGGGCGAGGCGGCCGCCCCTGTATGCGTCTTCAACCGCGCATGGACGACCACCTCAGCCTCCTTCAATCACCCCCGCCAAGCGCAACCAAAACCCGGGGCGACAACCTGGTGAACCACGGATACACCGAGACAGAAGCCGACGTGATGACTGTTGTGGCTTGTGACAACATGCTAGAAGAGTCAGCGGCTCTCCCGGGCCACCACTCTCTGGACCGTTATGAACCGGATCACGAATGCTGCGAGAGGGTGGTCATCAACATCTCAGGGTTACGATTTGAAACGCAGCTAAAGACTCTCTCGCAGTTTCCAGAGACGCTGCTGGGTGACCCCAAGAAGAGGATGAGGTACTTTGATCCCCTCAGGAATGAATACTTTTTCGATCGGAACAGACCCAGCTTTGATGCCATCCTCTATTACTACCAGTCTGGCGGACGCATAAGAAGACCTGTGAATGTGCCCATTGACATTTTTTCTGAGGAGATACGCTTCTACGAGCTGGGCGAGGAGGCTATGGAGAAGTTCAGGGAGGATGAGGGTTTCATAAAGGAGGAGGAGCGACCGTTGCCTGAAAATGAATTTCAAAGACAGGTGTGGCTGCTTTTTGAGTACCCAGAGAGCTCTGGTCCCGCCCGGGGAATCGCAATAGTCTCAGTCTTGGTCATTCTCATCTCCATTGTCATTTTCTGCTTAGAGACATTGCCGGAGTTCAGGGATGAGAACAGGGATCCAATCACCATTGCGCCTGTGATAAATGGCACACTCCCCTATTTCATCAGCCCGTTCTCGGACCCCTTCTTTGTCGTGGAGACGTTGTGTATAATCTGGTTCTCATTCGAGCTGCTAGTGCGCTTCTTTGCATGCCCGAGTAAGGCCACGTTCTCCAAAAATATTATGAACATTATAGACATTGTGGCCATTGTTCCCTATTTCATCACACTGGGCACAGAGCTGGCAGAAAGACAAGGGAACGGACAGCAGGCCATGTCTTTAGCCATTCTGCGCGTAATTAGGCTTGTTCGGGTGTTCCGTATCTTCAAACTGTCGCGTCACTCTAAGGGGCTTCAGATTTTAGGACAGACTCTAAAGGCCAGTATGCGTGAGCTGGGCCTGCTCATCTTCTTCTTATTCATCGGTGTCATCCTCTTCTCCAGTGCTGTCTACTTTGCTGAGGCAGACGACCCAGAATCGGGTTTCAACAGCATCCCGGACGCATTCTGGTGGGCTGTTGTCACCATGACCACAGTGGGCTACGGAGACATGCACCCCGTGACAATTGGGGGAAAGATTGTGGGGTCTTTGTGCGCAATTGCTGGCGTGCTGACTATTGCCCTGCCTGTACCTGTCATCGTCTCCAATTTTAATTATTTCTACCACAGAGAAACGGAGGGCGAGGAGCAGGCACAGTACTTGCACGTGGGCAGCTGTCAGCCTTTAGCAGACACCGAGGAGCTGAGGAAGACTCGCTCTTCTTCTTCACTCAGCAAGAGCGAGTACATGGTGATAGAAGAGCACGGGATAAACAGCACGTTCAAACAGCAGCCCAACTTCCCCACTACCGCTCAGAACAACTCGCAGAATTGTGTGAATATAAACAAAAAGATTTTCACCGACGTGTAGCCATTATTTTAGAGCCATAACATTGAACACAGGACGTGGTGACGAATCAACACACAGCTGGTTCTGCCGTTGCGCACCAGCGTGTGGAAGCAGCTGTAGATCAGAAAGAAAGAAGAAGAAAAAAAAACAGAAAAAAGAAGCGAAAGAACGAAACCTGTACGTTCAGAGATGCTGCTTTGCTGTCCATTCAAAGAATCGGGATTTTTCATTTCAGTGGTATGAATTCATAATTCTGTGTGGTTCCATTCGCGCTTGTAAGAAGATGAAGAGCTCCTTATAAAGTTTTAGGCCTACCATTCTTCTCTGAGTGAGGGGGGTTGACCTGTTGTGAGTCGGGCAATAGTGAGTATATGTTTCACAACAGGTAGACATAGAAGCTGTATAACTGTGACAGATGTGCACAAATGTATAATACTTGAAGGGCACTCACATTGTATTAACATGCGTTATGGGTCGTGATCCGTCCATCATCGGCTATGTATAATATCCAAAATCATTTAAATATGTTTGTGTGTGCGTGTTTAAACACATGTGACGTCTGAAAAACACAGTTCAGCATATAATATCTCAATTAGAGCGTTTTGTGCTATGCCTTTATTGTGCGTTAAAGTCTAGTCCAAATGCTATTCTCTTTAAAAAAAAAACATATATATAAGAATTCCCAACAATTTCTTTGTATGCATTCTCCTGGTTGGCTATTTTAATGGTTAAACGGCGACATGTAAACACAGGGGCCAGCCGACTCCAGTTCTCATTATCGATGCAAGACACACGTGCAGCGAAGAAACACTGAGCTTTTTTTTTGCGCACACAAACAGTGATCAAAGATGGAGCGTGTCTCTTTTCGGATGCCTCGAATATAGCCCACTGTGATGCAGTCTCCATGGCGACGGTCGTTACCTCGGTAACCCCCCCAGTCACCGTTACCATGGCACCTTTGTTTCCACAGTAACCTCCCAGATTGCTTGGAAGCAATATTGAAGATTTTCATCTTAATGGGTTGTCTTCGGTGTGTAAGAAGGATGTTGGGGCACCGTGCTTCGCTGCATAAAAAATAGACGCCCAAACACGCCCACTAACGCTAATCTGCAAGCCCCCCCAGTGACCAGAACAACGACACGAAACAAATCCCACCAAGGAGGTTGTTAATCACAACAGTCCTACAAAACAGCACAGGCTCGACACAGATAGCTCCAAAGCTGTCTGTCAAGAGAGGCCGAAGAAGAGACATGTGAGGAAATTGTGAATGGACTGGGAGCACATTGTCTGGCTGCCCTGAGTGCGCTGCTGTCGGCGTTCAGCAGAGGCTGCTGTTCTCCCACTAAAGCAACTGGTAAGTTCTAAGCGCTGTGGTGCTCGCCTCATTCTGAACGATCACTGTGGCGTAAGTCATAACATAAGACCCGTGCTTTTGTTGTTTGGAGATTTACAATTTACAATTTACTGAATGGAAAGTTCAGGCAGGTCATTTCAATCTAACAAGTTATCATCACGAGACGCACTGACGCTCAATTAACCTGCACTCAGGTTAAAGGCCAGTCAGTTATCTACAAATCCATTTTATATCGTTATTGTAACGTAAGAAGGTTTTTGGCTTTCGTCCTTCATCGAACAGTGTAGTGATGTCATGCATGCATGTATGTGTTTTAATGTTTAGACCCTCGTCAGTCTTTGTGCAGGATTTGTGATCCTCGTGTCTTTCACCTTCGGCTGACGCTGTCTAAGAAATGAGTAAGAACACCGAAGGCGTGCTCACACAGGTTGTGTACTGTGCTGCCCCCTGGTGGCCGTAATCTCCTAATTGAACAGGTGCTTTGTGACCTTTGTCATTTCTCATGGATATGAAGGGGATGTGATATTAGAAAGCAAGAGAAAAAAAGAAGGCTTGTACTTGTAATAACTGAATACATTGTAATTATTTAAAAAGTAAGAAATGGAATCTGTAATGGGGATTTTCTGTTGTTTGCTTGGTCTTAAAAGTCTTAAAATACTCGTGCGTTTTCATGTAACACAGTCCTATCTTTGATACCGTTGCACTGATGATCCTCCAGATTTATGCCCAGTGTCCGCCCTGACTCTGGTCACTTAATTGAAAGCAGAGACGAGAGTGAGGCAGAGATAAAACTTTCGAAAGCCAGGACAAGGGAAATATAATTATTCTTAAACTATTGACTACGCAATTAAATGATTACACAAAATTACATCTTTTGTGTACCTTTCCAGTTAGTGATAATCATGGTAGCTTCATTTGGAGGGACACCCTAAAAGGCAAAGTGGGAGGTGCCTCAGATTAAACCTTTTCGTTGATTGTTTATAAGTTTTCAATTTGATCCCTGGCATTTTTATATTTTTTCAATGGTGAGCTCCATATTGATCATCAGTTGAAAGCCTGCTCATTTCTCATGTTACATAAAATCTCTAGCAGAGGAAAACACTAATAGATCAGAAAGTGAATAAGCAGAAATGGGAGCCACTTGTTTTTCACCTAACTGGATTGGCCAGTCTGGAAGCCTTTATTACCCGGGCCTCTAATAATCCACACGATTGTTAGAGACATTGCACACTGCAGTGCACTCATCCTTTCAATTTTTGTTCACTTCTGCTAATTTCAAGTCGACTCAGGTCACTTGAGAGTTACAATCATGTCTGTCAGACTTTAATTTCCTGTCCTTAACGCTCTCCTCACTAAGACGTTATTCAGAGTTACACAGTTCTTGCCCGACTGTTAATGAGACAAAAGAAGGAAGAGAAGTAGCTTTGCTTTTGCAGAGACCACAAAACTAATAGTTTTGCTTTTCCTTCCCCATTTTGTGTTTTTCTCTCTTAGGTGAACTCTTTCTCTGCTCAGACCTCCTGGAACCCCCAACGAAACCAGTTAGACTGCCTCCCATTTAGGTAAACAAACTAAATTGATTTGATACAGGTGCTAATTACTTAGAAAAGCTGAGTCATTTTGAAGGCATTTAGATTAGCCATTAGCCTGCAGTGACCTTATTTTTCCATTTAGGGGCGATGCGACTCCGGTCTTCCTGTTGGGCCAGATTGGCCAAGTTAGCAATTGAGACAGAAATCTCTCTGGATTAATTCTTCCCGCCCTGCCTTCTTGCTCATGCTGGTGCCCTTGAACCTGAATTAACAAGTTGTGCCTATTAATCACCCTGCCACGCCCCTCCAGCGAACCACAGCTCATTCCAAAATGCAACAACATGCAGTTTTGAAAAGCTTATAATGGACACTCAACATCCAGTTTTGTAGCTGCAGTTTTGTAGCTGCTTCCGCGCTGAGGCTAAAGCACTGTGAATGGAACCATCGCAGGGTCAGAAGTTGTTGAGACAGTGACAGGATTCAGCTGCAATGGACTTTTTCACCACATGCTTTCTATATAAAATTCAAAAGGATAGATGCAGAAAACAAGACAGCAATTTTGCAAAGCACTTTCGCGTTACTGGAATATCAAGGATTTTTGCATTCTGTATTCACCTTTCCAGGAGGAGATGTTCATCATGGACAACAGCTGACCAACATTAAGACAGAAGTGGCAAAAACCAAGGCTATCCACAATTTACTGCTATAAAACTGTGATACAAATTCAACGACTGTTAGTCATTTGCCTTTGTTAGTTCTATGTGTTGTGTATTTGTAATATGTGAGACAAACGCATATGTACATGTGCTGGTCGCTGCTATTCCATTGACATATACTGTACGTGGAGGAAAATACAAAGGCGTTTATGCAGACACAAACACAGACACATGCAGCACATACACATGCCTTTGGACGGCTTTCTCCTTCCCAGAGTGCACTCTTGATTTATGGGAAAGGGCAAAATGTTGTCATGGGGCGGCTTGTTTGTTCTGTGTTATTTTTGTGCTGTCTTAAACATGACCCATGTAAAGAGAGTCTGAAAGTAGCCAAATTGTAAAGGAAAATGCACTCATTTACAGTTGCAAGGCAAAGTTTTAGTGCCACTTACTGATATATAATGTTGGATCATTTTCCTCAATAAATCAGTGAACAAGTTTCATACTTTTTGTTGGTCTGTTTAACTAGCTTTTAGGTAGAAATATAGACACTCTGAAAAGTTTCAGAAAACCTTCCTGCAGCTACGTCCAGAGGGATGTCTGGATTCAATACATTTCCAAAGTACATTTCCACTTTTAAGTTAACTAGAAGGGAGACTAACAACCTGTGTTTAGTATCCCTCTGCCTTTCTCTCACTCTAAATTGTTCAATAAAAGAAACCTATTAAATTTGCAGTTAAGCGTTAATAGAATGAAAATACATGAAATGTTTTATAGCTGGGCAAAGAATTAGTGACTGCCTTACCTGTGCAACATGTAATGCAATTAAGTACATGATATAAAATGGTTTAATCCTTCAGTACTGCAATATTCAATCATTTCATGGGTTTTTCTGGATTCTGCTGTGTGCAGAAATGCTGTTGGCACACAGGATGTGCCACTGTTTAACAAGTGTTTCCCGTGAAAAGCCTTGCAACGTGACAGTCTTTTAATAGTGAAAAACAGTGCTGGCCCAGAGTCCTTTGGTTACAGGAAAACACTAACACAACAGAAGAAAGAACAAAGAGAGCTCTCTGTAGCAGCAGGACCAGACAGGAAGCTTATGACGGAGTACTCCATCAATGAACTAGAAGGGCAATATTGAAAATAAAAGAGACGTCTCTCTGACAGATTTAGAAAGAAACATTTGGTGATTCCTAAATGTAATTCTACGTCAGACGTTTGGATGCCCCCTGGTTTGTCTGGTTGCACCTTAAAGAGCACTGAGCTGTGTCAGAGCACAGTGGAAAACTTCATGTCATCTCCCAGGCGAAGAGGTAAATATTAACATTGTAACAAAGGTTTGCAGCAATCATGCTGTCATGCTGTGTATGAGAAAGTGTGCTTTATTGCTGCGACGAGCCTGCCAGTTCACTAACCACTCTGCCATCTCTCTTGGCAAAAGTATGGCTGAAAGAATCAAACCACTATATCTTTGGTTGTCCCCTCTTACATGCGCAGCAAATCCCCCCCACAGTCTATTTGTGTCTGTTTTCATTCTTTTGCTTGTCTGTTCCTTCAGTATCAAACATAGGAGAAGGCACAATGTGGCAGCCGATCACAAAAATGATGTCATCAGACCTCACACTAGCCACAGGGCTAATGCACAACAACTCTCCATAGTAACAGGGGAGGGCTGCTGGTGGCAGATTCAGCCCTCTGCAGGTGTATTTCAGAGCTAATCTCTTGAGCTGTTGGTGTTACTGTAAACTGTGCACAGGGAAAGGTAGAGGCTAGCAAAGTCTAATTTTGTGTATCAGTGTGTTTATTAGAATTGTACACTGTGTAGACTGGGTTTCACCATGCACGGACTCGATGTGAACAGCAAGTTTAAGTTGAAACAATTTCAATATTGTGAGCCAACATCATCCCAGCACACACATAGTATAAAACCTTCACAATCAAAATGCCAACAGATCTTGAAGGGAGATGATGGAATGTCCCTTTGGATGTTTCTGGTCACCTGTGATCAGAGGAAAAAAGTCGTAGACACAAAATTGACATAAATTTTCCAAGGTTAATATTATCACAAGAGACACTGCACTTTGGGGCAAATTTTAATCCATAATTTGTTCCCTTTTGAGTCTTTTTTGGCTTCTACTAACACTTTAGGGGAAAGTCTGGATCATTAGCTGCAAAATGCTCCTCGCTTAATAAATATGAAGCAACTGAAACAGCTGCATACTGTGGCCCAAACCAATGCTTTCAGGGATGGGAATAGAGAAGCTGAGGCCCAGAAAGTCTACAGAGCCCTCATTACAAGTAAATCCCCTCCATACAGCCTTCACACATCATCTTTCTCACTTCATTTGGTTTTCATAATTTGAATTTTCAATTTTCGTCTGTTGTTTTTGAGAAACAGCACGACTTTAAGACATGAGCGGAAAATATATGGCCTGCATTTGTATAGCGCTTTTCTAGTCCATAGGACCCCAAAGCGCTTTACACTACATTCAGTCATTCACACACACATTCACACACACTGGCAAGCTAAATTGTAGCCACAGCTGCCCTGGGGCGCACTGACAGAGGCGAGGCTCCCGGACACAGGCGCCACCGGGCCCTCTGACCACCACCAGTAGGCAAACATGGGGTTAGTATTGCCCAAGGATATTTGACATGCAGCCAGGAGGCAGCCTGGGATCGAACCACCAACCTTCTGAATAGTGGCTGACCTGCTCTGCCACCTGAGCTACAGCCACCCCAAAAATATAATCAAATAACTCCACAGAATAAAATTCTATGTCCACAGAGTGCCAGGACTTATCAATTATCAACACATGGGTAAGCTTTTTTAATCATTCCCATTGCATACTTTGGTATATTTGAATGTTATTCTCTAAAATATATGCTTATGCTTTCGACCCGAGGCGAGATCAGTTTGTTGATGATTAAATTTTTAATTTTATGTTAATTTAAACCATTTTTTATTTATTGGCTGCTTGACATCTTCTAACAGTACCAACAGCTAATTGTTATTTTTAATCATGATTACATTTTGTCTTAAAATCAGAGTCCAGATTAGAGTGAACACACTAATGTTCTAAAGGAAGGTGTCGACTGATTTCAGCTTCAAAATTCTTCATAAAAGAACTTTCACAATAAACTCGTGACTTTCTTAACATAAAGTATAATAAAGCATTTTATGCCCTGGTCATGTGACACAGTACACACGCCTCTTGTTGTTTTTTCCTCTAGTGACTCCCAGTTGTGTGATATTTCCATGTTCACTTGCAGAGCTACAGTCTTGGCACTGCAGGAAACGATGGTTGCTAAGGATGATGATGCTGTTGCTAGTGCTTCCACTAAAATCAGATTATTTCTTACTGCTGATTGGCTGATCAGTACCAGTTTCCAGCCGCAGGCGTAGCAGAGAACACAGGACTCCCTGTCCAGTTCTGTATACAAATGCAAAGAAAGAAATACCTTAGAAATACAAATATACACAGTCTGACACATGCGGGCCTGCAAGAAGATTTAGATTAAGCAAGAGCAGGATGTTCATTTGCAATCTTTTGCTGCCAAAACAAAGAGACAAATGGTAGAGAGGCTGACAGTTTAACACAGAGACACAAAGACGCTCCTGCATTCTGCTGCATGACTCATCACTGTCACCGTGACCTTTATCTGCTGCCCTCTCCACCTCTGTTCTTCCATCCCTCCCCTTCGTTTTCATTTTCTGCACCCCTCATTTCTGCATTTCCTGATGGCCTTTTTTCCATCCTCCCTAATCTAGTGTCTTCTGATCCATAAATATAAGCTCTTCCTGACACAATTTCCACCATTTCTCTGGTGTCTTTCCCAATAGTTGTTTTTCCACAACTCTTAGTAATATAATACAAATATACACAGACAGACTACAGGCAGACTGGTGCTTGATGCTTGTGGCTGACAGACTATGGTTTGTATACATTAACTGTTCATTTAGCTGAATTGTCCAGACAGAGAGCACTTAACTGCTGCCCACAGTTTCAGAAATTCCTTAGGGAAAATGAATGTTCAGTGGACGTGTCAGGCCACCAAGAGCCTCCTTGCAAAGGTGATGTTTTTAATATGTTGCTTATAGATTCAGCAGCACATATCTAGTGATACAGAATACATGCCATTTGTATACTCCTCTCTTTGCTAAACCACACCCTCCAGATCAGCAAGATCATTGATTTTCTCTTGTTTTCTAAGGTGGAGAAAACAACGGAAAGTGAAACCACATCTAGAATCAATACCGGAGCACTCTGCTCTGGAGGTAAGGACATATCTCATCGTGAAAACCGGTTGCTTTCAACAGACAGGTATAGAACTTGCAAGGTCATTTTCTAAATATAGAGAGAGACCCCAGGGGGAGACATGCAGAGAACGTGAAGAGTGGGTGGAGAAAATGAGAGGAAAAGGAGGGATGAATGGCCAGAATAAGCTGATGAACTCCTTGGTGTGTCATACAGGAGCCGAGTTCTGCAACAAAGATTAGTTTATTTTTGTTCTCCATTTACATTAACTGCAGTTTCATTAGATGTAAATTCAGAAACATATTCATATTCATTTATACATGTATAAAGAAATGGGTGTGTTTTTGCACTTGGATTTTTGTGGGCTTGAAGCCACAAAGAAACAGGGAGTCAGTATGTTAAGGAATGTACGGATAACAACAGCTCATCACTGCACGTGTGAGTGTGCTGCATCTAGTAAGATATCACCTGCTGCAGCACCAGCAGAGGTCACACAGGACAAAGCTCCTCCCTGCAGTCATCTGTCATAACTTAGATAAACAACCTCTCTCCCTCACTCAGTCTCGTTCTCAATATATGTATATATATGTATATATATGTATATATATATATATATATATATATATAATATAATATACATATATATATATATATATATATATATATATATATATGTATGTATGTGTGTATTGGTACCCTGGTTTCATCTGAAGTATTACACGATGCCTGTGTGCTATGAAAGTGTGAATTTGACGTATGTCAGACACACTGTAGAGTTACAAAGAGTTTTTAGTTTATGTACAGTGAGTGATCACATTTTATTCACCTAAGTGCTTTACAATACAAAAGAAAAACACGACGTTTCCATCCACACATATGCAGATTAGTCACATGCAATAACACAATAATAAACTCTCCCTCATCCACGGTTCCAGAGATCAGCAGCAACTGAATGTTACAGCTGATGCATGTCTGAAGTTGCTTGCGAGAATAAAGTCATCCTGCGATGGGAGCAGAAGCAGAGTCCTGTGTATATCGCCTGTGCTGAGTTTTGACAGAGTTGACAGTTCAGTATGTTCAGTGTATCAGACTGCTTTGTCAGTGCTTTAGAATATCTGCAGTATGCCCTGCATATATGTAAAAAAAAATCCTGAATCATTGTGTAGTAGGTTTCCAACCTATGATAAAAGATGACTCATCCCTGCCCTGACTGTTGTAACTTATACAGCTCTACATACAACAGTAATTAACAGTGGGATTCCAATAAGACTTCAGTTAGCTGATGATTTTTTTATTTGGTTAAAGAAATAAAACACTTTTGAAAAAATGTATTCATGGTTTAGAACAGTGAATTCTAACATGAAAAACTGATGTTGGATCTTAAAACAAAAACACCAAACAGCTGCAACAATTAAATAAACCTCACGTCACTGTGACCCTTTCTGAATCCCATATTCTATAACATGCTCTAAGTGCACTCTTCCTCATCCCGTGAGTGAAAGTGTGTTTAGATAATTGCTTTCAACATGGTGGTGGAAGATGAATCATTGTTCTACTGACACCCAGCGCGGGATATTGGAAGCTGGGCTTGCTCCTGCATTTAGAAATGGGCTGTGTTCATTTACATTCACAAACAACTGAAGATTTAAGAGTTCCAGGGCATTTATCAGTAGAACCTGATAACACCAGAGTGGCAAATACAGTGCAGTACCATAAAAAGTATTTGTTCCCTTCCTGATGTCTTATGGTTTGTATTTATCACACTTGCTTCATCATGCTTCAGATCATCAAATAAATTTAGATAAATGCCGTTTGCACATGTAGTTATTAAAATGATTATTTCATTTCGGGGAAGAGGAACGGGCCAAACCTAGCTGTGCTGTTTAAATCCAAACTATAAACCAAGTCAGCTTGAGCCTCATGGCATTAACTGATGCCTGGACATTCTCCTTCAGGATTTTCTGATAGAGAGCAGAATTCATGGTTACATCATTTAGAGCAAGTCGTCCAGGTCCTGAAGCAGCAAAGGAGCCCCAGATCATCATGTGTCTGTGAAGGTTCTCAGTCATCCAGGTCATCGTAGTCAAAGGAGGCACAGATAAGAAGACCAGACACCAGCGAGGGAGGATAAGAAGGACAGACGCAACAACATTGTCATCCCCTATGTAGCCGGTGTATCAGAGAAACTCAGGAGAGTTTTCTCCAAGCACGACATCCCAGTGTATTTCAGACCCAGCAACACGCTCAGACAGAAACTGGTTCACCCGAAAGACAAAACGCCAAAACACAACTTAACAATGTGGTGTATGCTGTACAGTGCAGCGAGGAATGCCAGACCTCTACATTGGAGAGACCAAACAGCCACTTCACAAGCGCATGGCACAACATAGAAGAGCCACCTCCACAGGACAAGACTCAGCAGTCCATCTGCATCTTAAGGATAAAGGACACTCTTTCGAGGATGCCAATGTTCACATTTTGGACAGAGAGGACAGATGGTTTGAAAGAGGAGTGAAAGAAGCCATCTATGTCCACTGTGAGCGACCATCTTTGAACAGAGGCGGGGGTTTACGACACCAACTCTCTGCCATCTATAATCCAGTTTTGAGATCCCTTCCCAGACGCCTTAACGCCCACTCACATCCTGGGCCATCTGACCTCAGGAAATCACATGATAAGGTGGGGCCAGGTTTCACAATGAAGCTCACCCGAAACTCTGGCTGATTGGGACCCACACCCAGTTTCACACCTTGGCTCAGGCGATTAGAGGATCATCAGGGGGTCCTTTTGTCCCTCTGTGGGGGGAAACTCCCACTAGGTTTAAATCTGGGACTCTCCACCATTTGACCTTAGAACTGAAGAAGCTTCTCGGATGAGAGGTGAAACGTCTTCAAGCAACTTAAAGAAGTCCAGACGCTTTTCTTTCGCAAGCTCCTTTGACCAGATCATCATGCTACCACCACCATGTCTGACTGTTGGTATGATGTTGTTCTTATGAAATGCTGTGTTGGTTTGGGGACTCAAACCTTCCAAAAAGTTCAACTCTTGTCTTGTCAGTTCACAAAATATTTCACCAAAAGTCTCGGGGTTCACCATGACGTTATTTGGTGAATGCAAGACGAGCCTTGGTGTTCTCAGTGGTTTTAACTATGTAGCTCTCCCATGGATGCCACTTTTGCCCAGTTCCTGTCCAATTTTTGAAACATGAAGGCTGTCCTTAACTCATGCAAGTGAACCCTGCAGTTTTTTTAGATGTTGTTCTCAGTTCTTTGGTGACCTCCCAGGTCATTGATTTACTCTTGGAGTAACTTTGGTATGCTGGCCACTCCTGGGAAGGTTCCAGGATATCTCCATTTGTGGGTAATGGCTCTCACCAGTGGTTTACTGGAGTCTCAAAGCCTTGGAAATGGCTTTGTAACCCAAAGTGATAGATGTCAGTGACTTTGTTTCTCATCTGTTCCTGAGTTTCTTTAGATTGTGGTGATTCAATTTGAGATCTTTTAGCCTCTTTCACTTTGTCAGACATGTTCTATGTAAGGGTTTCTCGATTGTGCAGGTCTGGCAGTAATCAGGCCTGGATATGGCAAGTGAATTTGAACTCAACTTTTCAACAAATGAGCTTAATCACAGTTGATAACGAGGTGGGCAATTACTATTTTAAATAGGGCCAGTCAGGTTTGGACAGGTTTTTTCCTTAATAAATAGAATAATTTTTAAAAATGTAATCTTTTAAAATATCATCTCTCTCTCTCTCTCTCTCACACACACACACAACACACACACACACACACACACACACACACACACACACACACACACACACACACACACACAAAGCGATCAGGACAGGGGTGTTTCTATGTCATACATATAAAGATTAACTATTATAATCATTAGAGAGACATGAATTCCAAAACTATTCAAGACCGTCAAAAATAACTTTGAACACCTGGGATTTTGTTGTTTTGTGCATTAGCTCTTTAAACGTGTAATTTCCCCTACAATTCTCCCTCACTGTTGTTCACGGTGTTTTTGTGCCTCTCTTAAGCCCAATTCTAATTTGTTATGTGGATATATATCCACATCGGAAACACAACAGAAGCCAAGTCATTAACAACATTTTATCGCTCAAATTTTTTCGGACATTCTCTGCCTCTAAGGGTTTTTTTCTTCTTCTTCTTCTTCTTCCCCTTAATCTCTTCTGAGCAGCGCGGGTTTTGCTTAGAAACGCTTCCACTCTCTAGTGGGCGATGCTTCCTCTTTAATGTGGAAGAGTGAGGACAGGAGTGTCGGGGGTGGGGAGCGCAAAGGGATGGGGCGAGGCGCACAAGAAGCTTTTAGTATGCGCTGCAATGCCTAACTGCAGCCCACGCATCTCTACTATGGTGAATTATGGTGAAATATGAGAAACACGGGAAGAGCCGGCAGCTCAAAAACAGTTAGACGTGATGAGATGACACAGCCGCTGGACTGATTAGTCAAATAGGGGAAGAAGGGCACATATGAAGAAATAGACGAACGACCTCAAGACACCTTTTGAGAAGAGAAAAACTGGATTTAACAAAACATTAATAGGCTACATGCGTCTGCACAACAACAAGACAATCGCGGTGAATTCCTGCATGCCATTAGCCTATCTGAAATAATGCTGCCTGTACTCGGACAGATAATGCTATGCTGCTTTGTTTAGTGCATGGAGACTGTTGTGGATTTCCATGATCCGCACAGGATAGGGCTGCAAATGGCTTGAGCATGTCTGGCACCTGCCCCTCCAAACTAACTCGCGCTTGCAGTCAACTACAACATTTCCATTTAATGTCTGAAATGCATGAACTTGGCTGCTTGGACTCACATTTATTAGCAATAGCTTATTTCGCCATCAGAGGGTTGGTTTCATCCATGGAGTTGTGAATGCATTCTGTTTCTTAGTAATGTGCATCACTGGTGTAGTCATATGGATTTTCCCCATCCGAAAAAAAGGATGGTGATATTTACGTTGAAATAATTAAAAAAGTAACATTTTTTTAAACAACTTAGGAATCAAACAGGTGATTCCGCGTTATTTCTTAAATCTCCTCGGCGGCTTTCAGAGTATCTTTTCTTCAGTAAGTCCACTGATGCCAGGCAACAAGGCTGTCGTTGTTTTTGTTTTGGGCGACGGCAGTGTCATGTTAAATTTAACTAATGTCAGGATTTTAAGTGTGTTTATGTGCAAACCACTTGCCCCCACCGTCGTCCCCGACCAGCTTCAGCCTGTAGCGTAGCTGCATCTCGGCATGTGCCCGCTGGTCACTGAAGCGATGGAGGTAACTCCTGCATCCTCACACCTTGTCCCCTCTCCCATTCCCACTGCCGCCTTGCTGCAGCGCCAGAGCTTCGGATGATATATGAGTGACAGGAAGGAGCTGCTTGGACCGAGGGGAGTGACTCAGGACCGGGCACTCTGCTTAAGATTTACCAGCAGAGGACAGAGACTGTAAACAAGCCCAATACGTGCCTGTGAAAAGTAGCAGGTAGGGGCTTTTGATTGATTGATTTTTTCAGACCTTATTTTAAAAATCAAAAGCTGAAAAAAGTTTTTTGTTTTTTTTGTGCACCACCGTTGCTTTTGTGCAGCTGCTAATGAACAGAACAGATGTGTGTTATGTCAAACACGTGAATTAACAAATCTCCCAAAATCTTCTCTACTGAAAAAACTACGAAGTTTATTAATTTAGGTAAGATTTGTTTTTCAGCATTGGTAGGAAATGCTGGTAACACCAGATTTATAGAGGAAACTCATCTCAGAGACTGTGGAGCACTGAGCTCATAATCAGATTTGTTGGTTGTAATTGCACCCTGTGAGAGTGGATACTGTATTACTGGCCTGCATATTGATCCTGCAGTGTGCTCATATGAGGGAGAACTCATAACCTAATACACAGACACAATGGAGCCAGCGCTCGCAAATGGTTCTGCCCCCACCAACTTGTTATTTTCAAATGCTCTGCTTTCAAGGCTTTGAAGTAACATGGCCTTTCTGGGAAATAACAGCAGCTGAAAAATGTTTGGTTTAAAAATTGACAAAATAAGTGGATCATAAATGTTTGCCAGTGAATACAAGTTTCTGAACAAGTTATTCGTTTAAAGTCCCATAAAAAGTAGAGCATGAAGCATGTGCTGATCACATTAATATTAAACCTACCTCTGCTTTCTGTCTGTTCCTTTTAGCAGGCAAATCTGCCTGACTGTACAAGTGTGTGGAGCCTTTACCTACTTGTGGCCCAGCGTGGCCCCGCCCGGTCTGAAAGCTGCAGGTCCCATCTTCTTCCATCATGACGGTCGCTACCAGCGACCCTGCGGATGAAGCAGCAGCACATCCAGGTCAGTCTCATGACCATTACGACTCGGATCCGGATCATGAATGCTGCGAGAGGGTTGTCATTAACATCTCAGGCTTGCGCTTTGAGACACAGCTGAAGACACTTTCCCAGTTTCCAGAGACACTGCTAGGTGATCCTAAAAAAAGGATGAGGTATTTTGATCCGCTCCGGAATGAATACTTCTTTGATCGGAATCGACCAAGTTTTGACGCTATTCTGTATTATTACCAGTCTGGAGGGAGACTGCGCCGGCCTGTTAACGTGACTCTTGACATTTTTTCTGAGGAGATCCGATTTTATGAATTGGGTGAAGAGGCTATGGAAATCTTCAGGGAGGATGAAGGTTTTATAAGGGAAGAGGAGCGGCCTCTGCCAGAAAACGAGTTCCAGAGACAAGTGTGGCTTCTGTTTGAATATCCAGAGAGCTCAGGACCAGCTCGCATCATTGCCATAATCTCTGTCATGGTGATTCTTATCTCTATTGTCAGTTTCTGTCTGGAGACACTGCCACTTAATCGAAACGAAGATGAGATGTATAACTCACTCCAGTCCACATACAACACCACCACTCCATCTGCAAGCTTTTATTTTACAGATCCTTTCTTCATTGTTGAGACGCTTTGCATCATCTGGTTCTCTTTTGAGTTCCTAGTTAGGTTCTTCGCCTGTCCCAGCAAAACTGGATTTTTTGGCAACATCATGAACATCATTGATATTGTGGCAATCATCCCGTACTTCATCACCCTCGGCACAGAACTAGCAGAGCGGCCAGAGGATGGCCAGGCAGGCCAGCAAGCCATGTCGTTGGCTATTCTCCGTGTCATCCGTCTAGTTAGGGTATTTCGTATCTTCAAACTCTCACGTCATTCCAAGGGACTCCAGATCTTAGGGCAGACACTGAAGGCCAGCATGCGTGAGCTGGGCCTCCTCATCTTCTTCCTGTTCATTGGTGTCATCCTCTTCTCTAGTGCGGTCTACTTTGCAGAAGCAGACGAGCCAGTTTCTCAGTTCAGCAGCATCCCCGAGGCCTTTTGGTGGGCAGTGGTTTCCATGACAACCGTAGGCTACGGAGACATGGTCCCAACAACTATTGGGGGGAAGATTGTGGGGTCTCTCTGTGCAATTGCCGGTGTGCTGACTATTGCACTGCCTGTACCGGTCATTGTATCAAACTTCAACTACTTCTACCACAGAGAGACAGAAGGTGAGGAGCAGGCACAGTATCTGAATATGCCAAGTGTGCCTAAAGCCAGCTCAGCTGACGAGCTGAAGAAGAGCGGTCGGAGCGGCAGCGGATCCACTCTCAGTAAGTCTGACTATGTGGAAATCCAAGAGGCAGTGAACCACAGTATGGAGGACTTCAGATCAGAGGCCAGGAAAACAGGAAACTGCACCCTGGCCAACACTAACTATGTAAACATCACCAAGATGCGTACAGATGTATAATGCGAGCTCGGATGATTTACTTCTGCTGGGATCTACAATAACTGTAGTAGGAAGCTAAAGGTCCGCATACTGATAAATGTATGGGGCCCAGAATAAGAGTACAGAGCAGATCAGTGAGATTAACGTGGAGAAAGGGTCAGTAGAGAAGACCACATCCTCTCCCACATCATGTTCATACTATAGAACTGTCAGCTGTCGTATTCACGACATTGTTAGTGTTTGCATGGAGTTAGTCTTACCTGTGAAAGTAGTTATCCTGCCTCCAACAGTAGCAAAATTGTAGCCTAACCATAATAATCAATAATAACAATATAAAAGGACCACAAATTTTTTTTTATCTTCTTTCTCTAATTGCTGCACAAAGGATGCATGATAACAATATTCCAACAATATTACAGACGTGTCATAACTTATAAAACAGGCCACTCGATCAGCATTCATGGGCAGCTTTAATCTGCTGCTCTAACTGCCAAGGTCCAGATACACAGAAAGATCATTTCAACCAGATCACAGCTGTTCTCTCGAGGGAACACCGAATTAAGAAAGAAAGAACGAGAGTGCAGCACCAATATGCTGGTGGCCATGTGCACTAGTATTCATTCCCTTGCTACATCTTGTCTAGTACAAGCTAGCAGAGACAGGTAGATACCAACAGTCTAAATGAGTGCTTTGCTGTAATTCTGTACACCACATTCTTTTCCTGCCATTTCTTCTTGATGAAGTTCAAAATGATTTACAATGTCTATGCAGGGTGCGTGACTCTCTCCACTCGAAGCCTTTTCTTGCCTCTAATTAGTGCAGATTAGCAGGTGAACAGCAGAACACTGAACAGAGTGAATGTCTTAACGTATTCTACTAATGAGTGTTTTTAATATAATTAATTTATGATCAACGTGGTCTTATTACACATATTTTCATGGCCTTAATGTTGAATGAAATACTCTTTTAGTGTTCTGGGTGAGTTTCCAGCCTCTTTGCTGTAACCTTAGACACGCAGTTAAACGTGTTCAGCTTGACATCACTGCCCAAAATAAACGTTGCTGTTCTTGACTTCAAAGCATTCCATGTGTGTAGGAATAGATACAATGATTTTGTGGGCAAATTGCTGACATTCTGTTGCATATATCAACACAGCTTAGGTCTCATGATCAACTGAAATGTATATATGTCATTTTTAAGCTTCAGCTTTAGTGCCAGCATTTGAGTTTACTGCAAGTCTGCTTACGACGTCTTTAGCAGTTAGCTGTTAAAACAGAGTAATCTGACCTAATCAAGCTGCTTCACAGCGTTATCCTTTAATGGCCTCCATCTAAGGCAGACATGAAAAGGGAACATTTGTTTTCCTCTGAAAGTTGTTATGTGCAACCACCTGCTAAATTGGATCTTGGTTTGTAAAAGACATCAATTTTCTTTTGCTAATTTTGTATACATTTTTTTCCGTTTCTGCACCCATTTCAGAAATCATTCCCCTGGCCCAACATATTTAACTAACCAAAACTTATGCAGTTCTGATTTTGCAAAGCTGCATGTCCTCAAAAGTAATCATTGGTGCATGCATTAATATAAGTAATATTTGACAATAAAGAAAGGAAAACGTACTTAATTACATACATGGAAAGTTCTAAGCTAGAGAGGGTAGTGTGTTCATGTGGCAGCTTATTAGCTACCTCCAGCATAGGAGATGAAAGATATCAAACTATGATCCGCCCTGTGGATGCTAACAACATCCCAAACTCTTCACTTTTCTATTTGTTATAGTCTGTTGCCGTCACGACCTAGTATCTATGTATCGTGAAAGCGCACCGTCTGCTCCCAGCTCAGTGGATGCACTGAGATTCATAGCTGATCAGTCAGAGTTTTTGCTCACCCAAGTGTATTTGTAATGCTCCAAGGATCTGTATGAGTGCTGCCATCTCTAACATATAGGTCCATCAACCTCGGTGTGTAATATTTTGTGGGTGAGAGAGCTTATGAGAGAGAAATAGACTCAGACACAAAGAGACTGTGAGAGAAACGTAGAGCTGACGTCACTGCTCTCAAATGCTGCTCCCCTTGTTTCCAGGCTAGAATGACAATGGTGCTCAGCGTTAGCACAGTGTTTACAGCCTATGTACTGCATATATTAAACACATGCACATAGTATATTAAACAAAGCAAACTGAAAGGAAACACTCCGTTGTGATGATGTCCACAGTGCGTGTGGACCTGTGAGATAAGCTACAGTGTCTGCAAAGGCAAGTTACTGAAGACTTAAAATATAAGGAAGTAGAGCAAAGTCTGTGAAGGGAAGTATGATCATTCAAGTGAGACAACACTGCCGCAATTTTCTCCCTTGTATTTTTCTTATGTGTATTTGCATTACTATGAGCTGCTCCTGTGTACAGGAACACCTGCGTATATATGTCACTTCAGGCTTAGGCTGGACGCTGTCTTTGCTGCTCTTCTTAGCAAGCATACAACACCTGAAATGACAACAAACTCTCAGAGAAACCAACAGCGTGGCACATCAGGATCTAAGTCATGGATAACACGGCTTTGCTGTACTGCACAACACGAGTGGACTTGTACACAGACACACATTCATACAAACACTGGGCATTTTAAAACATACAGACAGTGTACACAGATGCTTACCCGTGACATGTAATCTTATGGACATGTCTGGCAGACGCATTTCTGTGACAGACTTCGCTGCCACAACGGACCTAAACCTGCCGATTGTGGGGTTTGCACAACTGCAGCCATGTAAATGTATCTAAGAGTTAGAGCTGCTTTAATTATGTCGTCAAGTACCTAATGCTTTAGAACCAGACTCTGCCATGTGTAGGTTCCTGCGTAATAGAAAATCCATGAAACTGATTTGCTTTGTCAGAAATGATAAAATCCTGTTGTTTTTCACTCTGTTTTTGTATTAATTAGCTGCCGTTGAGCCTCAGAAGTGGATGGACTGAGGTTTGATGCAGACCTTGGTCAAATAAATCCTGTCTCAGTACAAAGTTACTCTCAGAAAACCAGTCGCTCTGCTCTGTCTTCTTCAACTGTTTGACAGGCAAAAACGTGTGTGAATGAAATATAAGATAATCCTCAGCTCATTGACTGTGTTGTTGTCTATACTTACAGCTGTCTATGCTCACTATATGTACAAGGATTTATCTGCTATTGTATGCAAAAGAAGGAACTAAGAATCAAGCTGTATATTATTACACCCAAAGAAATATGGATTTGAATGTCTGTCCTTATCATGTCCTATGAACATAAACTAAAACCAGAAAATATCTATTCAGAGATACTTTCATTATTTAAAATAAATGTATATTATAAAGTTATTATGAATTATACTGGTCTCATTGATAACATCAAGAATATATTTATGCTAACATGCAGCTACTGTTGTGTTTTTCTCATGTGGATTCACACCGTGGTGTCCTATAAGCAGCTGTCACAGAAACGATAGTGAAATCGGCTGTGACATCATTTTGTGTGAGAAAGAAAACAAAACAAAAAGGAAAAAGCTGTAACAGAGCGTATACATCGAGGGAACCGCTACTGGAGCATCTGCTCTCATGTCCATTACATACGGTGTATCAACCCTCACCACCTAAATGGCTTCGTGTCCCGCTTTTCGCCTTAAGTGAATCTTGTGCTCTCTGTGGATTACTGAGAAAGCAAAGTGGCCTATTTATAAAACCAGCAAGGAGGGGAGTGAGCGAGAGAGAGCAAAAGGCCCTTGACTTGTAATTCATCAAAGTGGGACAAGTGCAAACATTTCTCTGAATCAGTACCATTTGGCACTCCCCCTTGTACCTGGTTTGTTTCTCCTCACGTCGCCTTGCTCACTTGTGCTCTTATCACTGCTGCTTGAGTAAGTCTGCCTTCCCCTCTCTATTATTTGGCCCTCGACTTTCATTTGCCACACATTTTCCTCGTGAGTTCATCTGTCTCCCTCTCTGCAGCGCTCTAAACACTAAATGATGCACAGTGGATGATTTGATCCCCCTTCCCAGACATATATCAGTATAATTTTCTCTCTGGACGTCTCAGTAGGCTGGGTCCGGAAAGTCAGGTAAGGACAGCAGTGGGAGGAGGTAACTGATGGTGTTTTCCCACTGATTGATATCTGATTGTATTAAACATCAACTCACCCATATAGCCAATATTCCAGTCATATTGCCCACTAGTGGTTCCTCCTCCCTGCAGGGTTATTGTCTCTTGTCTTTAGTGACGCTTTGGGGCAATTTTAATTACTCTTGATTTAGTGGCCTTGAAAAGTAGTGACATTCATTCACAATATTACCAATATGTTTTTGTAGAGCTAGTCATTTTGATTGACATAAGTGCATTTGCTTTTATGCTGTATGAGGTAATATCTATTAGGCCAAGAGAGTGTCTCATGTGCAGGACATATTTCCCTGATGTACTGTGAGCTGATTTATACCCGAACATGCAGCCCTCTTAATAGCCTGAGTGCATCTTTACATTCACGTGTGTGGAGGAGGGGAGTTTCCTTTTTCATCAGTCCTGTATGAATGGTGAAAGACCCCGTTTTAATAACACTAGGTTTTCTTTTTTCTGTTCACAGGTTTATGATTTAAGCAGCTAGAGGACTGTGTTATGTGAACACTCCATAATCATATTGGGTAAGGAAGACAAAGATAAACGCATAAACCTATAAAAAGGTTAATTAATATGCCAGATATTCGATGGTGGATGGCTGACAGCCTGTCTGTGCTGTAGATGACCTGATGTTATTTATAGCTTTGACATAAAATCTATAGCCAGCTTTCACAATATACCTTTGCTTCCAGTGACCTGTTAATCTTCAGTATTCTCTTTAATTGTTGCAGCTGACTTGCTTTGACACCCATTAATAAATCGATCCACATAACAGAGACACGTGATTGCGGCGAAACAAAGACTCAACTGCTAATGTTCTAACTTCCCTGTCTTACTGAGCTCCATCTGTCTTTCATCTGTCCATCTGTAGTGTTGGATTCCTCCACTACCCCTCCAACCAGAGCTTGATTATAAGGCCATTGTTTAGTTTATCTCTATATCTTTATTTATAGACACACATACTCACAAACCTCATTACAGTAATACTTTGTGTAATCCCCCAGGTGGTGGTTTTGATCTTTCTTTCAGTTCTCCATCTTCATCTTTTCCAGTAAATGTCCCCACCCACACACCAATAAAACACAAGCCACTGAGAACACACTCAGATATCTAAGACTAATTTAATCCAGGATACAAAACGCTGATATGATGATCGAGCATTCTGGGATAAAAGACACATTCACTCAGGGCTTCATGTTCCATTATGTCATATTTCCACATAATAGGAACACAGTGAGACTGGTCACTACTTCAGACAACAAACTGATACATTTACTTTCCTTTTTAACCTCATTTGACTAATAGAACATGGCATCTGCAAATCCTGCTGTTTTCATGATTTCCTCAAGTGTGAAATTTGCAGGCAGTGAGATTGTTTCAAAGTTGGGACGCACATCAACATTCTTGGGTTTGATACATGAACTGAACCCGACTGAAGTGCCTTTCGTTCATGAGCTGTGCGGCTTTCTATTAGTCTGTCTGGCAGACTGGAGTGGGCTGCTTAACCATATGTCTCCTTCATGCGTTATTTTCGTCTGCCCCCTGGTGTCGACAAGGTGGCATGACAGTGTTAACTGAACCAATATCTTATTTTATTTATTTGATGGAATGATTTTATTACTTTCTCTGTTTTAGGTTAATGCATAGAAGACAGACATTTCCCAAAACTAATGTGAAAAAATAGGAGGTTGGACCAGCTTGTATCCCTTTTAAGAATGAAAAAGCACCAGCAGCAGAAAATAAGATCAGAAATACGACTACTACTACTACTACTACTAAGAATAATAAGAATAAGAATAAGAATAAGAATAAGAATAATAAGAATAATAATGCAGTACCAAGAAACTGATACATACATACACATATTTTTTTAGTACTTATGTCGATTTGAGAAATGTTTTTTTGGTTTTGTGTATCTGCCAGTAAGTTGGGGGAGCAAATTATATCTACTTCCTCTTGTCCTCCACCCAGTCATTGCTCACATTTGAGATTCAGCACAGTATTAGAGTCTTAATATATCCTACTTCCATTAATAATTCCTAAGCTCAACAATCATGTCCTGTCCCCTTTCTGGACTTCTTTTTCTTTCTTGTTCTTTTATTTCTGTCTTTCTGCAGCTTTTTTCAACCTTCTCACAGATTCAACTTTGTGTCAGTGAAGAAATTATTTTCTGTCTGTATCTTTTGTTCCGTTCCACTCTTACAACACTGGCAAACAGAAAATTTCAGATATGCATGTGCTGCCATATTTCCATCAAACACACATTAAGAGATTTGGTTAGTGCTCCTTTGTTCTTTATGCACATTTGTGCATCAATCAACTAATATCTGAGTAATTCTTCCATCACTAATCTGCCTCAAACAGAAAATAAGGACTTTAAAACCTCATCATTTAAGGATGTAGCACATTGAAGATATCAGTTAGCCTTCTAAAAGGGTGTCAAACAACTTATTCATCTCATGATAAATTATTTTAATAATATTAGATACAACAGACATGAAATCCTCTTTTTCCCTATGTTTTCCTATCACATCCCATTGTCTCATAAGTGTTGTCTTTGTAGTTGGCTTGCCCTGCTTTGTCTGAGTTATTTTTGTCACACGAATGAAATAAGAGTTGATAGTAACAGCTTTGGGAGGGGAAATAGAAGTGTGAATGAATGAGAGAAGCCCAGTAGCTCAGGCCTGCTGAGACATGTAGCGCAGGATTCCCATAAGAAGAGAGCAATGCTCATGAGTATGAACTGAGATTGTTAAAACAGACTTATCCAGAAATGGCCCCATGATCGACAGGCGACCTGTCCAGGGGGTAACCTACATCTTTCCTTATGATAATTGGGATAGCCTCCAAGTCCCATATGGCTTTGAATAATAATAATTTTTTTAAAAAAAGTTAAGAAAATGGACAGATGGATGTGTGCCTGTGTTGTCTGGATAGCAGTAAGAAAACTATGAGATACATGTTTATATGTTGGAGTAAGTCCAGTCTTCAAACAGAGTAGTGAGGTAAATTATACATTGCTGAATGATGCAGCATAAATCTGAGGGCATATCCTAAGTATTTGCAAATGTAGGCTACATAACACTGAAATCAGGACAAGATTACACTTAGTGAATAGTCAAAATGGATATCTGCTCTCTTCACTTCAGATTTAGAAAGATGTAGATGAGATCGTTACATAACCTAACTGTGGCCAGTCTGCTAATCTAAGTCCATTTAGCAAAAAAATGCATAGGCCACTGACTCAACAATGCCTATGGGAAAATAGACAGGGTTTATCTTTGGGAAAGGATCAGGAGAAGCTATTTTTGGCAACTTAAATGACGAATTTGGGGTTGTAATGCTTCTCTTTGGGTTTATCATATTTGTACTGTTTCCTTAAATGTCCTAATTAACTGTGGTTTTCAATGATTTGTATCCAAAAGGGAGGCGGCCCAGCTGTCTGTTTTCTTTATCACTTCTAGGTCTGGGAGACATTGAAAAAGATTACAAAATCATTCAAAGTGGGGAAATTACAATAAAATAAAAGCATACAATGTATTACAAACATACATTTTATTCATAAATGACTCTGAAACAACTTTTCATTTCTTTTCTTAAATAAACAGATAAGAAACTAGTGTAGGGGAGAAGCAAACGGACACATGTATGGTGGGAAATGTGTTATGATCAAAATTTATGCTGTTGTGATCAAAATGACATCATCATGAATAAATATACTGTGTGAATGGTGTCGTAACAGGTTAAACTGCTGTTACATACAAATAAATGCGTACGGTTTCCCAAAGAGCAGTCCCACTAGTAGCCTACAGGGGGCAGCCTTCATCCTTACAGGGATATCAACCTCACGTGACTGTGTTGATCCCAGACAGTGGCTTCCCCTCCCCAGCCTGAGGCTGTTCGCTGGTCCAGAGGTCAGCCTGTGAAAGTATCTGTGCCAGCCACATCTATTTAAACACTGATGATTAGACATTAGGATTCAGCTCTGCAGTCAGTATATCTTATTCAATCAGCAGGAGTATCTTTTTGACCTGAGTGGCTCATTCAATATGCAAGATGGGGCTTCAGTGAACCTGCAGTAGAACTGTTTTCCAATGAAAAACCACATAAACCCAGGTGCTTCACATTAATCTGGGGTCTGCATCTAAATGGAGCAGAATGTTCATTGGTTTAATTAGTAACACCTGCTTTATGCTTTTATTGTCTAAACGGCTGCTCTGTAAAATGGGTTCCCGGAAATAAAAGGAAATCAGAGTAAGTGGGAATTCCACCTTAAAACATTACTCACATATTTAATTCAATGTCTGATTTATTTTATTTGTTAAGTGTTATTTCAGTACAACAGTCCGCTCAAGACAATTTGAACTAGCAGGAAGAGACACCTCAGGAAATATGAATACTCACCGGCCACCTTTTAGGTACAGCTTAAAGGTAACTTAACCCAATAAATCAGGAAAAAAAACAGTTTTCAATTTTTGGTGAAAAGTGTTTCATGAAAGTGCAGATTTCTGCATTTTGTGAAACTTTAAGCAACAATTTAATTATTTCTGATAAAAAAAGAGTGTATGTATTATATGTCACATGTGTATAATTACTGGGTGGCTGTGGCTATAGTGTAGCTGCCATCATCAGTGTGTGAATGTGTGTGTTAATTGGGGGATGACTGAATGTGTAAAGCGCTTTGGGGTCCTTAGGGACCAAGTAAAGCGCTATACAAATACAGGCCATTTACCATTTTACTGCATTTGGTGTATTTTAACTATCCATTCACTTCCACTTATCCTTTTCAGGGTCGTGGGGAGTCCCAGCTGTCATGTACACCCTAGACAGGTCGCCAGTCATCGCAGGGCTAACACACAAAGACAGACAACCATTCGCACTCACATTCACACCTATGGGCAATTTAGATTGATCAATTAACCTATCCCCACTAACTGCATGTCTTTGGACTGTGGGAGGTACCCGGGGAGAGCCCATGCAAACACGGGGAGAACATGCAAACTGATGGGGGAATTGAACTCAGGATCTTCTTGCATATTACAGCATGTAACACCAGCATATGTGTAAAAACGTGGCTTTCATTTTGCCACTAAATTTGATATTCATGGCACCCTCGTGCCAAAATTTCTAGTGAAATTTTCCTAGGGTGAAATCCTCGGCCCAAAGTGTGACAAGAAAACATCCCACACACCATTATAACACCATTGTCAGCCTGAACTGCAGACACAAGGCAGGTTGAATGTGTTCTTTCATGTTGTTTACACCAAATTCTGACTCTACCATCTCAAATCTAAGGCAGAGATGGAGACTAATCAAATCATGCAGCCTTTATCCAAGCTTTTACTGTTCATTTTTGGTGAGTTTGTGTGAATTATAGCCTCAGTTTCCTCTCCTTAGCTCACAGAACTGGCAACAGCACTGGTGTTACCATTACCTTCCTATCTTGGAAGCAGTCTGTCCATTCTCCTCTGAACTCTGACATCAACAAGGCATTTTTGCC